TTTTTTTACAAGCTGAATTATGGGGTTTACTTTGTTTTTCACAGGACTGTAAATGCAACACAAGTGCTTACACCAATGTAAATGAGGAAAAAAGAAACCGCAGTATCTCACCTGACTCTGCAGAGTGCAACATCAGCCAGCGAATAGCAACATTGCAGTCTCTCAGACAGTTGAGCAGTTTTGGGATGTTGTCCAAGATAATTTCCTCCCTGAGGAAACCTTCCTTTAGCAGCTGCTGCACCTGAGGCCTCAGGCTTTCCATGCTGGCTGCATACCGAGTAGCCTACACGTATGGTGAAAAAAAACATGGCTCTTGTATACAGTGCACCATCTTTCATTCGGGGTAGTCAATTATTCATACATTCACTCCCACTAGTGGTCATTAGTAAGAATGGCCTGGTCTGCAGGTGAAAGACTAAATGTGGATTATTCAGTTAGCTCCTCCTGCCGTGTGTGTATGTGTGGTGTGAGAGAGAGAGAGAGAGAGAGAAAGGACTTTTTAATGACTCTTACAGCGTACAGCCCTACAGGCATCCCCATATTTTAAATGAGCTTTCCGGGAAAAGTTTATGAATGGCTTCCTGAAATTTGTTTCTGTTTACATTCTGTGCTGTTACAAATTCTGTGCACGCTGTCATCACTACCCGCACAGAACAAATAAGCACACTGCAGGACTGTAAATGAAAGAATCGGAGGTCTCTCTGACATTGAAGCTAATGTATTTTTTAATACCTGCTCTTTGATGTTAGCAGAGTCCAGGGTGTAGTTCAGCGCAGTCTTGGCAGCTTTGTATGGTTCCCAGGCTTCCACCAGGTTCACTGTGATCCCCATGTAAATGCTGATAACCTGCAGAGAGACTATACTTGAGAAAAATATGCTCAACATGAAAAAAAAACTGAGCCAAAACATGGCACACATTTAAAAATAAATGACATAACATTTTATAAAGATGTTTGTATTCAGATCTACTGCAAATGGAAAAGACTTAACAAGTGCCTCACCCAATTATCAGGAAAGTATTTGTCCACTATCTCCCGCATCTTTGCCTGCTGGGTGTGCAGTATGGAGGGGCTGAAGAAGAGGCAGACGTAGAGCATGGCCGCCTGGTTAGCCAGTGCTGTGCTGCGATGTTCTGGTAGAGGATACGCAGAAACCTGGAGGAGAAAAGGAAAACATCTTAAAAATGTGTAATAAGGGAAACATGGTGGGACAAGATCTGTTATTTAGTTTAACCACAAAGAGATTTTGGACCAAATGTTTCTCACTTGGTTGTAGATGTCGTCCGAGCGCAGCCTCCCAATGACCATGCTAGTAAAAGTGGCACTGATGGGAACTCTCTGGAAGTAGCTCTCTGGGTAGTTGGCTGGTCGTTTGGCTCCAGGCTGGCTGGAGTAGCCGGTGCTACGCAGGAGCTTACAGATATCATCCAGGTTGGAGTCGCCCGAGGAACGGGCAGCACTGAAGAAAAAAACGTGTTTTTCCAAATAGAAGAATGCATTTTTGGTGCCAGTATAACCCCCAAAAAAGTAATAATATAAAGAAGAAGAATTATTAATAGCCGTGAAATACAACTGGAATGTTATTTATGGGTAAACAGCATCCCTCTGTGTGTAGTGTACACTTTTGTGTCAGCTTAAACTGACACAAAAGTGTTAACCTTTTGGTGAGTCAAGTAAGTGACTCACCCTCACTGGAAGCAAGCTCACTGGCTAACAGGTGATTGGAGTGCACTGAGCAAGTGAGTCACAAAGAGAGTGTCATGTGGATGTGTGGGGATGTGAGTCACAAGCGCACCTGTATCTATAATAGGAAACAAGCATCCTCTCTCTGACTTCTCCTTCAATTTTTTGGTCAATAACCAGCAGCATGACTCCATACAGGTAGAGAGCTTCACACTGGGAGAAGAGAAAACATGACCAATCAGTTCCTGGAGTGCCGTTTCGTTTCGTTTTGAGGGTTAAGCATGCACATTCACCTGACACGGGCGACTAATTCTAACCAATTCAGGAACAGATATTTAAAGATGTAAGCCTGCATGTAATGCAGACTTGT